ACATTGTTTAAGCATTGATTCACCAAGCCACTATTAAGGAGCTGAATACAGAAACCATTTAGCCACTCAATATGAATATGCAAACATAGGTGAGGAAGGCATTGTATGCAAATGTCAGTTAAAATGTGTTGAATTGTCCAACAAACTTGAAATACGCATATTCTAGCTTTGGTGGGTATTTTACAATGGGTTGCATTTTTGTTTCACAGTTTGGAATAGTTTCCATTTCGGCCCCATTCATTTGCATCCTTGCACAATGTGACGTGATCAATTATGGGAATACAACCAGTTGCAGCTTTATTACTAACTTTGCTGAGGAAATACTTGACAGCTCATTACTCATTAAGATTGTTATGTGTTCCATTATACAGTATAAGGTGTGCATGTGGGATATTTCCATAACTAGGGCTGAGCTGCAGATATTTGGGGGTGTTTCTTTTACTTTGCACTAACTAATGTTTGGCTGATTTGTTGGTTACAAATGCACGCGTTGGTCGAATATTTATTATTTATTGAAGTATAGTGAACTGTCCCTAAATTATGTGAATCCTTTGTTCCCTAACTTAATATTTTCCTGGAACTATTTTGTGATTACCACCATTTTAAGTTATTGGGCTGTGCTTTTACATTATTATAGTTTTTGAAAGTTCTATCTATAAACTCAATTTTTGCACTGCTGCTGTGAGGATATTTATGAGGTGATAAATATTAAAATAATATTTTTATAAAAATTATCAAAAATGTATTTAATAATTTTTATTATATCAAAATCGATATCTTGGCACTGTATGCCCGAAATTAATGATATAAGCTGAGAATTTCCCACTATATTTAATTCTCTTAGATCCTAGAGGACATTCATTTGAGGATTTTACTTCACACAGTAATCACAATTTCACTATAAAAATATAATTTGTGACAATTCTAATAAAATAATATTGGGGGACTGGGCAGTAAAATGACAGATGAAATTTAACGTAGAGAAATGCAAAGTTATGCACTTTGGGGTTAAGAATGCACAAGCAGCTTACACACTAAATGGTAGTGAATTAGGGATAACCACACACGAGAAGGATTTGGGAATTGTTATAGACAACAAATTAGGCAGCAATATGCAATGTCAATCAGCAGTTGCTAAGGCCAGTAAGGTTTTGTCATGTATAAATAGGGGCATAAATTCTCGAGATGAAAATATAATTTTGCCTCTCTATAAATCGCTGGTAAGATCACACCTTGAATATGCTGTGCAATTTTGGGCGCCTGTTCTAAAGCAGATATCATGGCACTAGAAAAAGTCCAGAGACGAGCTACAAAATTGATAAAAGGAATGGAGCATTTTAGTTACGAAGAAGGTTAAAAAAATTAAATCTGTTTAGTTTGGAAAAACGATGCCTGAGAGGGGATATGATAACTTTATACAAATATATTCGGGACCAGTACAAACCTTTATCTGGAAATCTATTCTTAAACAGGGCTATACATAGGACACAAGGTCACACATTTAGGCTGGAAGAAAGTAGATTTCATCTAAGGCAAAGAAAAGGTTTTTTTTACAGTAAGAGCAATAAGGATATGGAATTCTCTGCCTGAAGAGGTGGTTTTGTCAGAGTCACTACAGATGTTTAAACTGCAATTGGATAAATACTTACAAAAACATAAAATACAGGGATATAATTTTTAATTAGTGGGGTAATAGCTGCTTGATCCAAGTAGACATTTGACTGCTATTTTGGGGTCAAGAAGGAATTTTTTTCCTAGTTTGTAGCATAATTGGAAGCGCTTCAGACTAGGTTTTTTGACTTCTTTTGGATCAACAGCAACAACATATGTGAGGAAGGCTGAACTTGATGGACGCAAGTCTCTTTTCAGCTATGTAACTATGTAACATGCGTGACAATAAATCAGTGAACATTTAGTATTACATAGGTATATAAAATGGCAATGGTTTATCACAATACAGCGACTGAGCAACCAGCTGTCAAGAATTTAACAACATTTATGATAGTTTAACAATCTTCACAGACACAGAAAGAAGAACTTTACAGCACAGGGAGAAGCAATGAAAGCTTGGCTAAAAGTTAGATCAACTGAGTAACCCTTTTAATGCTGGCTAGAATCCTCCTAGGCATATAGTATCCTATTACATTGCAATTTTTCAATTAAGGCAATGTTCATACCAGATCATTAACCATTCCTGGAACCATCCAATAAGAATAATCTAACAGATTTTTACATTAGCTGAATGTAACTTCCCTAAATAAGATTCTCTCTTATATCAGAGCAAATCAATACATCTGGATAAAGGTGGCATGCTAACATCTGACAATTTATCATTAAGATATCGTTATCTTTATTCCATATAACGGAGACAACCAATAGTGCTCTCTGAATAAAATGTTTTATTCAGAGAGCACTATTGGTTGTCTCCGTTTTATTCCCTTTGAGTGTTGAACATACCTGTGAAGCAAGACATTTGTACCACATATGTACCATAGCCCATAAGCGGGGATTATACCGCTGTACGCTGTTCATACTAGAGCTAGATATAGCTCTATTCCATGTGAGGGCATTTTATCTTCCCTTTTATCACCCAACGTATCTTATTGGACATATTACACTATTTGGTTCCATTTCTTGTTTTATCTTCACATATCATTGGATGGCCCTGGGGAAGGCCTCCACGCCCTCCCCCCAGCCTGCCCGTCCCGCCATCCCCCGCTCCCGGCGCGGCTGTCAACAGGGGCGGACTGCCCTCAGTGCGCCCCAGCTGCTCTGCGCCGCCGAGGCGGGAGGGCCCACGTACCGGTGCACCGAAACGCGCGTCGGGTTATTTTGGAGGTGGGGGGGTCTTCTTTCCCCTCATCTTTTTCACTTATAGGGCACTCTGTCACCATGTGCAGGTAGCCAGCATTCTAAGCATGGCTCTGCACATTTAGCACACTGTTTTTTCACTATTCACTTTATCTCTCTCTTATGCTTTATACCTCCTAATACGAGACATATTATATAACAGATCCATTTGTGGATATATTTTGTCTATTCAATAATTTTGGACTTAGTTTATATGTGGCAGTTACTATGATAGATACTACTCTTAATACATTTTATTTTTTGGATTATTTTATATCCAATATATAGTATCTATTTATACTCTTCTGCTTATTCAGTTGCTTATGTCCCAATATGCTAGCAATTGAGTACATGGCAGTTAACATTATAGATACTTTTTTGATACAATTTACTGATTGAATTATTTTCAACAGATCCCACATATACTATCTATTTATAATTGTCTGCTTACTCAGCCTCTAATGTTCCAATATGCTAGCAATCAAGTATTATATCTTATATAATGCCACAGCTTGAGACTTATTAGGTAAAAGCAAGTCCTTAATGTCTCATATATTCTTTGATGTATTGATACCAGCCTGCAGTCACAGATATTGACCTATGAAGCATTATATATTAAAGTCTAAACCTGTGTACTGCAGTATCTACTTTTAGAGACATTAGGAAGGGAGTTTTTTGCCATAAGGCAGTTATTTTCTACTTTCACCTGACCCATTTTTCTATTGTATTTTCTCATTATATATATATATCTCTATATCTCACTTTGTATAGAATCATTATTATTCATTATTCCAGTGGATACTCAGGTACTAGTTATTTTGAGTATCTTATTAGTTTTCCTAATCAGGGGTTATGCCCCAAGACACAACTGGAGTGTCTTATAAGGTGTGACCATCTACAGGCTAAGTGGTCTAGTCTATTTTTTAGACAGCCATTGCCTGTAGACTGCTTTCTTTTTTCTTGTTTGGTTACTACGTGGACACTATCCCTGACTAAGCATTTTACATACCATTTGGTCCAAGAAGGAGAAAATAACTGTTAAGCTAAGACTTTCCTGTTTGGATCTTCATTATAGTTATTACATTGATTGTGTGTGGCGCAGCCTTTTTTCTTTGCTTTTATTCGTGTTGTATGTGAAGGATTCTTTGAGGGATCCCCTTTTAAAGGTTGCTGCCTTTCTTGTTACTTAGCGCTTACTGTCTGTTTTTGATTTCATCCTATTACTATTTTGACACTTTTGACTTTATTGTCCTTTTAAATTCTTTCGACTTACTTTCATTTTACCTTAACAGAATAAACTCAGATTATTTAACGCATAGGCCATGTTTGACATTTTCCACGCAGAGTTTTAAATCTAACGCCATTGTTTTCTGTAGCGATTGTAACACAAACACAGCTGTTCACTCAAGTGAGAATTTGTCCGGAATTCCAAGTGAACTTGAAATTTTAGGCCACAATAGCCAAATTAAAAGATTTCTCTAAATCAACTATTTTCATTTTAGCTATTTTTCCCTCCAATTTTAAATCCACTTTGAATTCTGGCAATTCTCATTTTAGTAAATAATCCTGAAACTATACCTGCCTGATATTTTACATATTTCAATATTGTCATCTTTGTACGTTGTTAACTCAAGTCACCTTACAGGAACATTTGTCCTAATAATCATTTCTATTTTTATTCTTTTCAAACCATATTTTTTATTTTAACCATGTGAAGACTTCTACATTCAGTTAAAAGAAACTTAATTTTCTAAGATTTTCAGATTGGATTGTGTGTTTTGTTTCTTTAAGTTATAGAGCAGGAAAAGAGCACAAAGATAATTATACATAAAAATGTACTATTTTAAATGAATTTTATTAAAAGCAAAATATGCTAATCAGCTGTTCTACAATAAGAGAGCTTGGAATGATAAAATGTAGAACCTTCAGGAATGCTTATCTCAACCTATTGTTTAGAAACAATGATCTCTTAGCATAAACAGCCAGGGCCAGCCAAGTCATGTTCTTATTGGTCACACCACCTCAGACAATGAGTGGATCCTCCCACTTTGTTCTAATAAAAGGAGCAGACCACATTAAACACGACTTATAGCTGAGAGCAACTTGAACAAACTACAGATCAACTGTACTGAAAAGTTTGTAAGGACATGATGGAGAAAGTCAGCATCAACGAGGAATACAAGGAATGTGATGGTCAACGAGATGACTTTTCCCACTTTTTCCAATCTGTGGACTTATATGATGCTAACTCGGTTCAAATACTTGATGGAGAACTAGAAGGAGATACTACACAACACCATGAAGGATCTCACAGAGGTATTATACATTTATCAGCAATTCTCTGATATTAATATCTGTTATGATGTATGGCATATATTTGGGGAACAAAATGGTGGAAGAACTGATACAGAAGGCTTTCCTACAGATGTAAAACATACTTACTATACAGGCTCTAGTAACAGATCCAGTACAGGGCTGTTTAACATTTCCTAAAGTATTCTTAATAAAGTGGTGGACTGTAAATCGGATAAAAACATTTCTCTATGTTTATAAAATTGTTTTTTATTTTGTCTGTTTGCTTTTGATATTTAGATTTCTAAACCAAAGTAATGTTCAGTTTTATTTTATGCAATCATGCAGTTTATGAAAAAGATGTCCTTAAACGTGTGCACAAAATTAAAGTTTAACTGCTTTGCTGCAATTGTATTTTAAAGTGTTACTTAGAAATCTTACCTAGCTCATTCTTGTTTGTTTAAGATGGATCCTTTTCATCAATGGATGCACCACAAGAGTTGGGAGATTGTGAAAATTGCCTGGTTCATCGTGAATATTTGCCAGACCCGCACTCTAGCTCTTCCACGGATACCTGGGAGCTGGATTACTGCTATGCCTGGGATCTTGGTGAATATTTTCTAGACGCTCACTCTAGCTCTTCCACTGATACCAGGGAGCTAGATTACTGCTATGCCTGGGATCTTGGTGAATATTTGACAGACACTCATTCTAGCTCTTCCACTGATACCTGGGAGCTAGATTACTGTTATGCCTGGGATCATTGTGATCAGGACCTTGAATCAGATGATAAGGACCTTTTAGAGAGTCCACCTACTTCACTCTCTGAGACAGAATATTTGGATCTGTTCCGTTGTTGTGACTGGACATGTGTTGAGCAGCACATTGGAGATGAACGCATTGTCTTTTGAGGAGGATATCGTGCAGAAGCGCTCTTCTCTGGGGGTACTGTGAAACATGTCTTGTAAATGACGATGGGTGCACAATTTAGCATATGCTGCCTTGGGCTCAGAAGATGAGGGTGACTGGAGACATTAAAACAGCCTAGGTGAACTTCTCTTGTGCCAGTGTGATATATTATTTGCAAATATAGAATTGCTAAATAAACCTATTCACTGATTGAAAACTTGCATAGTGTTTTGGTATTTAATTTCACCATTATTGGGATGTTACAGGAACACTAATAACCATAACAAAACATGTTTCTGACATTGATTATGCAAGTAACACCCCTATTCTTGTTTTTCTGGTCTCAAATGCTTAGGTCAACAGTTATTTTCCAAATATTCTAACACACTGAAGGTTCTTTCTGAATATGCAAACTGGTATCTACACTATTAACACAGCCACTGTAGTAGTTACAATGCTAAAACACAACAGACACTATTATCTAAGTGTATCAAATCATTATAGCCATTTGACAAAAACTAGTGACCCATAATACATCCGTGGCCTGGCCCCTTAATTGCATTAGCAATATCAATTTCTATCCACATTTAGATGACAGTGATAGTCTGAGAACATCAGTTGACACACATATGCAAATAGAAACATCAGCCATTAAAAACTTTAGTCTGTCAACTCTCTTTAAGTTTCATATAGGACGACAGGCACTCGCTTAAATGAAATGAAAAAGATCTCTATACACATACATCTTTCTAAGACTAATGATTCACCCTTTAATTAAATTTAAGACTAAAATATTTGTTAAAACTATTAAAAGTGGTCTGCCCCAATAGACAATTCTAAAGGTGATTTCAATAGGAAAAAAATCATATACTGTTAAGAAGACCGCGCATTTTAGATTTCATGGGGGCATTTCATTTGTAAGTGTGAAATCTGACAGTAATACCTTCATTGGTATTCAAATTTAAGTACATTGTTTAAACATTGATTCACCAAGCCACTATTAAGGACCTGAATACAGAAAGCATTTAGCCACTCAATATGAATATGCAAACATAGGCGAGGAAGGCATTGTATGCAAATGTCAGTTAAAATGTGTTGAATTGTCCAGAAGAAACTTGAAATACGCATATTCTAGCTTTGGTGGGTATTTTACAATGGGTTGCATTTTTGTTTCACAGTTTGGAATAGTTTCCATTTAAGCCCCATTCATTTGCATCGTTGCACAATGTGACGTGATCAATTATGGGAATACAACTAGTTGCAGCTTTATTACTAACTTTGCTGAGGAAATACTTGACAGTTTTTAAACCAAGCTCATTACTCATTAAGATTGTCATGTGTTCCATTATACAGTATAAGGTGTGCATGTGGGATATTTCCATAACTAGGGCTGAGCTGCAGATATTTGGGGGTGTCTCTTTTACTTTGCACTAACTAATGTTTGGCTGATTTGTTGGTTACAAATGCACACATTGGTCGAATATTTATTATTTATTGAAGTATGGTGAACTGTCCCTAAATTATCCGAATCCTTTGTGCCCTAACCTAATATTTTCCTGCAACTATTTTGTGATTATAACCATTTCAGTTATTGGGATGTGCTTTTACGTTATGTTAGCTTTTGAAAGTTCTACCTATAAACTCCATTTTTGCACTGCTGCCATTGGCGGATCCAGGGGGGTCAACGGGGCAATTGCCCCCCCCCCAAAATAATATTTTGTTACCAATGTATACTGTGTTTTTACTCCAATTTCAAGTCTTAGCAAATCTTGCAAGCAGAGCTACTATGTGTTTATCAAAGGCAACTGGAAGTCGTACATTACCCTCACAAACTGGAATATACATTGCTTTAATGATTGTTAGATAACAAGGAATAGATTTCCTTTGTAGATCGAGTAGCCAGATTCGATAAAATTCATTTCTGTCCTGTGTCCCAGCAACTATATATACTCCTTAATAACAAAAAAAGTGATCTGTAGCTGCGCACGCAGTTTTGCGTTGTGGCTAATTTGGCCAGCTGGGATTTCGCTGGTTGTTTTCCTAAACATGAGATAGAGTTTGCAGCGAGGAAATAAATGATTATTAGGTTTTGAGGCGGCCGGGGAGATTCTGTGGTTTTTTTTTTTATGTCATCATTCTGGCGTGTGAATTTCAGCATTGATTTAATATGTGACAATATACAGAGACCCTGTAATGTGTAACTCAATAAAACAATATGCTTTATAATAATGTGAACACCATTTAGAATAGAGACGGATGGGCAAGTTTAGTTACAGCGGACTGTGGTAGGGCCAGAATTTAAACATTGGTGGGACAATTCTAGTGACACCTTTATTTTTAGCTGGAATAATTCTTAAAATGTCAACATAAATAATACGGATTTAAAATATGCTCTATAAGAACTATAGGACCACCAGGTAGTGTAATTTTGGTACAGAACAGAATTATTATTAAAATGCCTGCATGGTCAGGGTCTGTGATATTTGATTTAAAGGAGGTCTAAGTGTAAATGCAGACATTTTATTTAAATAGAGCTAACTGATTGTCCTATACACTGTAAGTGTATCTCTTTTTATATTATCATATCAGACATACTGCCATGCCGGCTGGCCACACTATTAAAGGACCACTATAGTGCCAGGAAAACATACTCGTTTTCCTGGCACTATAGTGCCCTGAGGGTGCCCCCAACCTAACCGCCTGGCTCTGGGGAGAGGAAAGGGTTAAAACTTACCTTTTTTCCAGCGCCGGGCAGGGAGCTCTCCTACTCCTCTCCTCCCTTTCGGCTGAATGCGCACGCGCGGCAAGAGCTGAGCATGCATTCAGCCGGTCTCATAGGAAAGCATTTACAATGCTTTCCTATGGACGCTTGGGTCTTCTAACTGTGATTTTGAGAATCACGCAAGCGCCTCTAGCGGCTGTCAATGAGACAGCCACTAGAGCAGTGATGGCGAACCTTTCTGAGCCCAAGTGCCCAAACCGTAATACATGCCAATTTTTTTCCCTCAAAGTGCCAACACGGCAATTAAACCTGAATACTGAGGTTTAAGTTTAGAAAAAACAACTCATACAGTTGTCCGAACTAATTAACATCTCTGTGTGTGTATTAAGCAGTTTGTGTGTGCTCGGCAGTCTGTCTGTATGTGTATTTAGCAGTCTGTCTGTGTACTTAGCAGTCTGTCTGTATTTAGCAGACTGCTGAGTACACAGTCTGCTGAATACACACACAGACTGCTAAATACACACACACAGACTGCCGAGTACACACACACACAGACAGACTGCTGAGTGTACACACACAGAGACTGCTGAGTGTACACACACAGACAGACTGCTGAGTGTACACACACAGACAGACTGCTGAGTGTACACACACACTGCATTGAGGGGTACAGTGTATGTGTTTGTGTGTGGGGTGATGTGTGTGTGGGGGGGTGATGTGTGTGGAGGGGGTGGTGTGTGTGTCTTTTTGTGGGGTGATATGTGTAGGGCAGGGGTGCTGTGTGTATGTCGTCCCCCCTCTACCCCCCACTGTTTTCTTTCCCCCATCCCTCCCTCATTTTTTTCTCCCATCCCACACTCAGTTTTCTCTCCCCCATCTCTCCCTCCCCCCCATCTCTCCCTCAGTCTCCTTCTCCCTCCCCCCATCTCTCCCTCAGTCAACTCTCCTCCCCCCCAATCTCATCCTCCAGGTCCCCCCGAGCTCCTACCTTGTAGCGTGGCCGAGCGCACCGCGGAGCTCAGTTTCCTGTACCCGGCGGACAGGAAGTGCTCTCTCTGTGAGCACTTCATTTCCGTCCGCCCAGGTACAGGAAACATAAGTTCCTGTACCTCGGCGCGATCGGCCACGCTACACAGAGTGCCTGGCAGGAGGGAGCGCTCTGCGCTATGCGCTCACCTCTTGCCGGTCACTCCAGCTTTGCGCCCGCCGGGCCGGTGCGCCCTAAGGCGGCCACTTGTGCCGCCTTATGGATGCGCCGGCGGAGCGCACCCTCCCTCCGGCGAACCTATGGCCGCGTGCCCACAGAGGGGGCTCGGCGTGCCACCTGTGGCACGCGTGCCATAGGTTCGCCATCACTGCACTAGAGGATTTGGAGGCTGGATTAATCCTATTATAAACATAGCAGTTTCTCTGAAACTGCTATGTTTATTTTAAAAAAGGGTTAACCCTAGCTGGACCAGGCACCCAGACCACTTCATTAAGCTGAAGTGGTCTGGGTGCCTAGAGTGGTCCTTTAATAGTTTACCAAATGTTTTAAATTGTTTACTACATAATACTAAATACCTTTACTACCTATCCCCAGCCCAGGTGTTAGAGCCACTGACTGGCCAGAGTCTAGAGCTTCAATTTGCATGTGGTCACGCTGGCTGGCCATTAGGCCATAGTGTCATAGTGACAATATGGCCTAATGGCCGGTGTGACCACATGCAAATTTACTGTAACACTAAAAGAGTTCACGAAAATGGCCCTAGCCCAGCCACTTTAGCATAATTCAACTTGCCTTGCCAGCCTGAGGTCGGGAGCCTACTATCAGTGAATAACAGTCTCTGCATGCTGCTGTCCCTAATTGAAATAGACAATGTCTGCAGCAAGAGACTGTCACTAGGTTAGACTGCTATGTACTCAGGGAATGCTGGATGTGTCCCAAATAAAGATGTTTCAACTAAAAAGAGTTAGGACTCTCACAATAAAAGACAGAAGGCAGAGAGAAAGTGTGTGTGTGTGAGTGTATGTATCTATGTCAGAAAGTGTGTTTCTCTGTGAGTGTGTCAGTGTCTGTCAGTGAGTATGCGCGTGTGCCCGTCAGTAAGTGTGTGTCAAAGCTGCAAGTGACTTTCTGTGCCTGTCAGTGTTTCTGTTTAGGTGACTGCCCCCCCTTTCAATCATATGGGAAATTTATTTTTACTCTCCTCTTTTTCTCTGTGGGTTCCCACCACCATGGCTGAGATCATTAGTCTTGATCTCAGCCAATCCAATGCTAGTCCTTAGGAAAGCAATGGAAGGTTATTACGCACCTATACACAATGTTGCACCAAGATGCATTGCATAAATGCATCACTACGGGTAGAATTAAGAGTCACGCTGAATGTAGGTGGTGCACACGATGCAGCACTGGCCCAGGAAGCACCTCCAGAGGCCGTCTGAATGACTGTCACTAGAGGCATTACTAGGCAGTAATGTAAACACAAGGGAGACTGCAGTTTAGTACACCGCCTGTTAATTTTTCCATTGCAGACACCGTAAGCCGTGCTAGCAGACACCGTAAGCCGTGCTAGCAGACACCGTAAGCCGTGCTAGCGTGATTTGTCTGCGGCGTTGGTTTTGAAGCGCCTTAGCCTCTGTTTTCCCTGCCGGGTACACTATTTTGATAGTTTTTGTTTGGAGGTAATTCTTATCATTAATTTTTACATTTATTGTGTTTTATATTTATAATTTAAATTCGATTCGATAATTTGTAAGCATTTTCTATGTGACTTATTATATATATTAGTTTAGTTTACACTCTGTGTTTATGTCACTGAATTTGTGTAGCAATATTTAATATGCAGTGGTGACATTTCTGAAGTCCTCATTCGACTTACTAATAACATATTTTATAGATTTTGGTATAGATTGTGTGATTCTGATTTATTTATATATGGTGCTATATAACGCTATCCGGTTTTTGCTTATATTCTATATTCTCTGTTATCACTTTATACAGTAGTGTCCAGACTGCCAAGTAACAGCAATTATGCAATACTGTTTATTTGGGCATTTGTCTGGAACATTTTATTTAAGATTATGACCAAGCTTTTATTATTTGATTTGAATCTATATGTCACTTAAAGGGTTTGCATAATTAGTAGATTGCAAGCTTTATTGGCAAAATTAAAGGGACTCTATAGTCACCCAGACCACTTCAGCTCAATGAAGTGGTCTGGGTGCCAGGTCCCTCAGGTTTTAACACTTCAGATGCAAACATAGCATTTGCAGAGAAACTATGTTTACATTTGGGGTTAGTCCTGCCTCTTGTGGCATTGAGAAACGCTTTCCTATGGACACTTTGAATGACGTCGGACGGGGAGGAGAGGTCACCAGCGCCAATGGAGCCCGGCGCTGGATTAAGGTAAGTAACTGAATGGGGTTTTAACCCCTTCAGCGCCACGATGGGGGCACCCTCAGGGCACTATAGTGTCAGGAAAACCGCTTTGTTTTCCTGACACTATAGTGATCCTTTAATTACATTAGAAGGCTAGCTTTATTGTGCTTTAAACAAGATGTTGTTGCATTTAAGTATCATGATATAAAATAATGGATGTGGGCATGATGTCCCAGCAAACCAATTATTTTACAAGATGTGTTCTTTTGTGCTTTATCTGTAGAAAGCGCAAAATGAGCCAGAAAAGGGTGAATAGCAGAACTATTGATTCCTTCTTCAGTACTAGTGCAAAAAAGTCAACAGGAGCACAGCCTGTACTAGAAAGCACTTCAACTATAGAAACTGATACTAGCTTCCCTTCGTGTTCTGGTACACACGTAGAGCCAATACCTTCTCAAACTGATTCTGTGTTGCCACTGTCTGTTGATACCCCACCTCAAACTGGCAGTATCCTAATGAATGACATTGGCATACATCTTGGGAAAACAATTGATGATTTCACCAAATGCTTGTTACTGGAAAATCCATGGCAACCTCCTCCTGGATATGAGCTACCTTTCTCTGTTCAGAACATGACTTCCAAAAATGGAGAAGCTCGGACAATCAAACGATACTTGTCAAAACAACATATTGACAGTTTTCCATGGCTAGTATATTCAGCCGTTAAGAATGGTTTGTTTTGCAAGTACTGTGCGTTGTTTGCACAACATCGCAAAGGTGGTCATAACAAAGGCATGGCACTTGGAAAATTGGTAACTGAGCCCCTTACGAATTTAAAAAAAAATTAAGGGTAAGGAAGGAGATTTGGAAGTCCATGCAAGACTTGTTTATCACCAGGAGAGTGTAACCGAAGGAAAAGCATTTTTAAAAACCCTGACAATGAAATTGTCAATCAAATAAATTCTCACCGTCTTCAGAAGGTGAAGGAGAACCAAGAGCGAATTCGTCCTATCATTGAGTCCATTATATTCTTGGGTAGACAAAATATACCTCTGCGTGGCCACCGAGATGATGGTGCATTAATGGATGACTCCACACCGGACTTGAATGAAGGGAACTTTCGGGAATTGCTGAGATACCGCGTTTCATCTGGAGACAAAATGTTAGAGAAGCACCTCCTTACTGCATCTTCATGTGCTACGTACATTTCAAAATCCACACAAAATGATTTAATCAAGTGTTGTGGTGATTAAATCTGCAATATCATTGTTGGTAGAATTAAAGAGGCTTGCTATTTTAGACTAATATTTGATGAAACTACAGATATTTCACATATAGAACAACTTTCACTTAACTTTAGATATGTCTACAATGGATCTATTCGTGAAGATTTTATAAAATTCGTAGATGCCTATGTATTTGCAACTCAGAGTGAGTCAGGATTGGATAGTTCAGATTCAGAACTAAGGCTTACAGGACAGGTTTTAGGCCAGATGGTAATTCAACTAATCAAAGACCTCTCCCTGGACATCACTCATTGTGTTGGCATTGGAACAGACAGTTGCAGTGTTATGTCTTCAGAGGTAGCTGGTGCTGTTTCAGAAATTATTAGAGCAGCACCCAACAGTTGCAGATGTCCTTGCTACAACCATTCTCTGAACAATTCAATTTCAAAGTCATCACAAGTTTCAACAGTTCGCAATGCAGTAGTAGTGGTAAAATCAACCATTTCATTTTTTAATCAATCAGCAAAGCGTCATTTTGTTTTAAAGCAGGAGTTAGGCTCTCAACTTTGTGAAACTAGATGGGTAGAGCGCCACGATTCTCTAATTAGATTTCGGGATGGTCTAGTTAAAGTGGTGAGTGCACTATCAGCAATATCTCAATGGAAATGCTTAAGCTCTAGTTCATCAGCCTCTTCTCTCATCCATTCTCTGTGCAGTGCAGAATTTCTTTTCCTTGATTTCACTTATCAATGTTCTGAAAGTAACTCTACCTCTGAGTCGTTTTCTTCAATCTCCCACACTTGATTTGACAAGTGCATCTGAATGTCTGAATGTCACCATGAGAACCGTGGAGAATATGCGATGTAACGCTGATCATACTTTTTCCACTTTGCATATGGAGGCTACAGAATTGGCCTCAGAACTTGGAGTGGAACTAAAATTGCCACGTCTTGTAGGACGACAAGTACACAGATCAAATTACAATGCAGGATCAACTGAAGAATTCTACAGGAAATCTTTGTATATTCCTTTGCTGGATAACATTATTAACGATTTAAAAGCTTGTTTGCCAGAAAACTCGATGCAGTGTTTCCAGATTCAAATATTGATGCCACCAGTACTTGTAAAAAACAAAATGGAAACCATGGATCCTGTTGCTATCCACTCATTATCAAACCATTTACACCCTCTTCTAGATGATGGTAGCCAGAGGATAGTGGAGACATTACTTCAGGGAGAATTTTGTCTCTGGCTCACAAAGTGGAAAAGCGAGTTATCCCAAAACAAGGAAATTCCATAAACAGTCCTTGAAGTTTTAGATGTGTGTGACCAGGACCTTTTTCCAACCATCAGAAGTTTACTTCTGGTCTTGGCAACTCTACCTGTAAGTGTGGCCTCTGCAGAGAGATCGTTCTCAACCCTCCGTCGTGTTAAAACATGGCTTCGATCACGAATGTCAGAGGACAGATTAAATGGTTTGAGTTTGCTTTACATTCACAGAGATGTTCCTGTGAATACTGACCGAATCATTGAGCTGTTTGCAAAGCAAGGAAAACAAAGACTTTAGCTAACTCTGTAAATTTGTTATTTAATGTAAAAATGTTATGTGTCTGTTGCTTTTAGTGTTTGGAAAGTGACACTGTCATCAGTATATTTCTACCTTTTTACACATAATTGTGTATTGTTTGTTACGATTTTGTCTGGGAATATTCTGTTCTATAATCAGTATACAAACTCCTGATGAAAAAGTCTACAAACTGTTAAATAATAAAGTTATATGTGGTTAAATGTCATCTGTTTCTAATTTTTTTTTTTAAATCCATAATTTGGAAAGACAAATGTGACTGTTTTTAAATAGGGTTAGAGCTGTATGATAGGTTAAATAAAATAGTGTGTTCTATAAGCACCTCATTATTTTCTGTCCGCCGCCACAAAACAATCTGTAAGTGCCCCTCCCGAGACCAGGCTCTGGATCCGCCACTGACTGCTGCGGAGTGTTACATTTTAAAAATAGTAATAATGCGACTACTTGTAGTTTAATTTTTCATGCTGATGAGAAAACCATTTTACACAGAGCTTTTAAATAACGTACGTTAGTCTGAATGACTGCGTGGGATCAGTTATACAGTACTGGGTATTCATTTCTGTAAGCAGTAGGCAGAGTTGCAGATATTTTATGGCTTTTTCTTGCACTAGGATCCAACATGTATGACTGATTCGTAGGCTATAAACACGCACATTGTCTGAAACTGCCCAGGAGGTTGGCCTGTAGCTTCTTATTCACACAAAGAGAATTTAGTAACTGATATCCTTATTACTACCGGAGTAATGAGTTATTGGAGATGCATAAAATACAGTCCAATTAATTTCACAATATTTAAGAATATGTTGGCCAAGGTAATGTCAGTATTTTTATATCGGCAGACATTTTGTGCTAAAATAGAAATTAAAAGTGTCTACTGCCAGTCACACTTAAAACAAAACTGACTCCATTTTGGTATCTTCATGCTAAGAAAGACACATAATTTCTTGCTTTCTGTAACTCCAGCCATTCAAGCCTGAGCTAAGGAATGCGTTATATAAACAAGTGATAAGAAATGAAGTCTCACAGCAAGGATGGGGGTGGAACACAACCCAGAGATAAAAATGTATACATATATATATATACACAAATACATACTATCCACTGATACTTTATATTAAACACATATAATTAGTATCATGTTTATAATATAGACTATTCATTGATAAATATCAATGAAAAGTATCATAATATGTAATAAATGTTAGTGGAATAGAAAAATTATCTTACACACAGTTTCACACAAGAAAGCCAGACACTAGTAACAGTTATATATATATATATATATAACACCAAGTAATTCATTTTACTTTCTAAATCTTACAAAGTCCCATTGTGAGCAATGGGTGAAATTAAGGTTTAGACATGTCAGAAAGTGGATTTAAAGGTATATGGCCGACGTTCTGTCTGGAATAAGACTGGAAAAACCAAATGAAAATGCTTTGATGTGACACGTCTTACGATTTAAGCAGGCCATATACATAAGCCAAAATTATGTCAAAATCATCATTTTTAGTTAACTCTTTCCAGGACAAGAAATTTTGGTGATGTAATTGCGCCATCTACTGACCAAAAACTAGATAATACTAGATAAGATAGACACACATCCAGCTTCCTATTCATCCTATCAACTAATGACGTACTGATAGTTTTGCCCTTTAAAAAGTAAGAACAAAGGGAAAAGAGGGACATTCAGACACACTCAGTGTAGCGGAGAGGTAGTATAATCCACAGTATCTCCGCTGGTAGACAGGAACAGCATAGAGTAATCCAGGTATAACAAGTACAGCATACAATAATCCCGGTAGCATTAAATAAATCCTTCCTACCTTGTGAGTGGCCAATGGGTTGTACCCGGGAAGATTGGAAAAAGTGGCCCCCTTTTCCCTGATTAAGCTTTGGACTTGGGTTCGCTCCTGGGGACTTAAAAGCTCCCCTAAGGTCTCTGTCCTGGCCCTCTTGGTCTAGGTGGTCTGGGAGAGGTAGATTATCAAAGTCCTCGCTAGCTGGCGCGCAGATTGTGGTTACCTCTTCGGTATGCTCATGGTATGGCTTTAGCATATTCACATGGAGCATGCGTTTGCCCCTCGCGCCTGCGGCCAGACCGATCACATAGGTGGTATCACATATCTTTTCTACCACCTTGTATGGGCCCTGCCAGGAAGCCTGCAGCTTGTCCTTGTGTACTGGTTTTAAGATTAGTACTTTTTGCCCCACCTGAAAGCTGCGGTCCCTGGCTCCCTTATCGTACAATCTACGCTGTCGTTGTTGGGCCGCCTGGAGGTTGTCGCGCACGGTCTGGGTCAGAGCCTCCAAGCGTTCCCTAAACTCCAGTACATAGGGTACGATAGGTGTGCCATTAATGGTCCCTTCTCCCTCCCAGTGTTCTCGGATTAAATCAAAAAGTAAATGGGGAAGAAACCTTTCCCAGTCCTTCTGGTTGTCAATGAACGCATGGATCATCTGTTTGAATGTTCCGTTAACTCGTTCGCAGAGACCATTGGACTGGGTGTGAGAGGCGGAGTTCAAGATCTGTTGTACCCCACATATCTTCCAGAGCTGGTGTGTGACTTCGGTGTGAGTGCTCCTATCCGAAATAATCTCCCGGGGAAATCCCACACGGGAGAAAATTCGCATAAGGGCATCTGCCACTGTTTCCGCGTGCACATTAGTTAAGGCCACCGCCTCCGGATATCTGATGGCATACTCCACCACGGTCAAGACATATTTCTTGCCGGAGGGACTGGGTTTTGCCGGGGTCCTATTATATCCACCGCCACCCTACTGAAGGGTTCCTCAATTATGGGCAGGGAATGAAGCCGAGCTTTGTATCTGTCTCCCCTCTTCCCTACCCTCTGACAGGTATCACAGATCTGACAATATCGCCTAACATCCTGTGAGATACCTGGCCAGAAGAAGTTCTGGGTTAGCCTGTGCTTAGTGCGGCTGATTCCTAAGTGCCCGGACAGGGGAATATCATGGGCGATGCATAACAATTCCAGTCTATATATTTCCGAGGCACAACTAGCTGCTTAATGGGTAGAGGTATAGATCCGGCTACTACCTTCTCTGCATGATGGCACAGTAGCCCCTTGTCCCAGGTGTACCTTTCCCCTTCTAGCCCTGCCTGGTCTTTGTCTATGCGGTCTTTATATATCTGCAGGGAGGGATCTAGGGCCACTTTGGAACCAAATTCTAGAGGAGTCGCCCAGGGCAGGACAGAGGGCATGGGATCTTCATTGCTTACCTGAGCCTCAGAGTGGTTAGATGGAGTTGTGGTGCGGGCCTGCTGCCGGGTCACAACCGGGTACGCCTCCTGAATGGTGGATTGGGGAACAAAAGCTGAAGTCAGCTCCCCCAGGTTGTTGCCCAAGATGACGTCAGCAGGTAAATCCTGCATCATCCCCACCTCCACATTCCCGTGCCTGGCTCCACAATTCAAACG